ACTAAGTGCTCTCATGACCTTTCCTTCTATCCCCAAGGCACACTTATCTAGTGAGGCTCTGACATCAGGCAAACCTTACAATCACCTCCCAGGCTGGAGAGCGAAGCCTCTTCCTGTCTCCAGGGATGAGCTAGCCCAAGAAGACAAGGTAAAGGCAGAGCCAGCAGAACTGGCAGATCTGGCACCGCAGACAAAAGTCACAAAGCACTGCCAACACCAGAGAAGCCTGGCCCCGTTTTTCCTGGAGAAACCACATTGTCCTGTTCCATCACCCAGCAGCCCCCGGGACCAGAGAAACAAGCGGAACGATGACACTTACTGAGAAAGAGAAGGAGAGATGCCACACGTGGGATGCGTGCCATGGGGACCCGTGCAGAGCTCTGCTGGCGGCGGCACTGAGGTTGCTCAGATGCCGGGTGAGAAACGCTATGTTCTCACTGTAAAGGCAAAGAGGAAGCGGTGTCATTTCCAGACCACTGAGAAGCGAGGTGACTTGCAAAAGCCACGCTAGTCGCACTGTGGTGCTTTGCGAATTGCCCCTATTTGGGTGTGAAAAAAAAAATTAGTTCAGACAACTGAACAGGACAGTTATCTTCCTGGGTAAGTATATGTTCATACAGATAAAAATAAGAAAAGGTAGGCCTCATCCTGGCTAAATATGCATCCACAGGAAGTCATCAGGGAATGTAAGGAAATGGAATAAATAAAAAAAATCAAGCAGAAATGTTCTTTTCTTAGCCCTGACCCCTCCTCCCATCCTGGGGGAGAAAAGGACTGAGAAATGGCAGAAGGGCCCCTGAAGGACATGAACCTGGGGAAGCAAGAGGTGATGGTGCGGAGGGCAGGCTCCAGGGCCGGCTGCCTGGGTTTGCACACCGAACCTATTTTTAAGAGCTGTGTGATCTTAGAGAAGTTAATTAACCTTTTCTAACTCTCATCTATAAAAGAGTATGTACCCCACAAGATTGCTGTGAGAATTGAATGGACGAATTTGCTTAAGATGCTTAGAACAATATCTTATACATGGAAAATGCTCAGTAAATGTCAGCCACCGTCATTCGACATTTAAGTGAATCTTCTTCTGGCCAGTGTGGGCCTGGGCACCAAGGAGGCCGGGGGGAGAGCCTAAAAGCTGGCACTGGACTCTGGCCAACTTAATCCCACTCTAGTCCCAGAAGACCACGGGTGAGCTCACAGAGGACTGGTTCCCTGGGTTGAGCCTACATTCAGATAGGCCAATAGCAAGCTGGCCTGCTTCAGGCAGATCCCTGGCTCCATCCACCCATCCAACAATTTTTTAGTCCTTCTATGTTCTGGGTGCCGTGGTAGGCTGTGCCCCTATGGAGAGGTAGCAATTCCGTCTTGGCTCTCAGGAAACTTCCACGTCATCGGATGATCAGAATGCCACAATGATCAAGTCAGCACCCAAAGGGAATGGGGGAGGTTGGTGGGCAGGACGGATGGACAGGATGGGCTGGGCTGGGTCAAATGAAACAGCTCGGGAGGAAGGGGGCCGGGTATAGCTGGAGAGAAACGGTTTGGCGTGAATGACGTGGCACCAGCTGTGCCCGCCTGTTGGAGTCAAGTTCGAGGCTGGTGTGAAGGGAGAAGGATCTAGAGAGGTAGGCTGGGCAGATCTTAGTGAGCCATGCACACCAGGCCCAAGCGTTTGGCTTTGGGGAGCTCTTGAGAGGGTGGCGTTTTCTGTTTGTTTTGGTTTGGCGGTGCGTTTGTTTTACAGGAGCATGGTCTAGTTAGATTTTCCTGTTAAGCTGAACTCCATGTTGTGTTTAGCAATGATGAGGGTCTGAATGTGGGCGTTGAACATGAAGTCAGAGGAGAGAGGGATGAAGAGGTAACCACTCACTCACTGAGCACCTGCTATAGGGTCAGCACCCTACCAGGTGCTACAGGCGCACGTGGAATTCAAGTGTCGGAGGAACTTTAATGGATGGTGGAGGTAGAGCACGGTAGAGGCAAGCAGAAAATACAATGACCAGCTATCACACCAGGGGAATTAGTGGGGGTCCCTAGAAGAAACACATCGTGAGAGATATGGACATTTTTAGGAGGGAAAGAGAATATCTAATTTGGGACAACAGGGAAGAGGCTTGGCGGATAAAAGAAGGGGAAAATGGGCCCTGCCCACCAGGAACTTAGACTCTAGTTTAAGAAACAACTGTAGATAAGCAATAGTAGCCATGAAAAGCAGTCTGCATTGGGTATCCAATTTATGGCTCTGGCAAGAAACACCCCATGAATTAGCAGACCGGAGAGACCACTGCAGGCAGAGGGCAGCCAAAGGTCCTTCAGAAAAGGCTGCTTTTAAGTAGGTGCTCAGAGATCTGGTATGATTGAAATAGGCAGACAAGAGAGGGGAGGGCATGCTAGGAGGGAGAAATGAAATTACAGATACAGAGGCAGGGGTGTGCAGGTTAATTTAGGGCAGTGTGTCTGGAATGGAGATTTCAAACGACCTCGCTAGGCTGCTCACTGTCACATCAGCGTGGCCTGAAGGACAAGAACCTGTTCACCATTTCAGTTGAAGTCATGAGTCAACCCCAGGCACCAAAATTTTAGGCAAACGCACCGTCTCAGTTAGTTACTGTTGTGTCACCAACCACCACCAAACTTCGGGGGCGCAGAACAGCCAGCATTAATTTTTGCTCACAAGCCATTGCATCTGTTAGCAAGAGCTTGATGGTCTAGGATGCCCTTGGCTTGGACTCCCCCGCCCCCCATATCCCTCTAAGAGGGTAGCCTGGACACGCTTTCATGGTGTCAGGGGTCCCAAAGAATGAGAGGAAATACATCGGTACTTTTTAAAGCTTCTACTTGCATCAGGACTGCCAACATCTCACAGACCAAAGCGGGTCACATAGCCACATCCAAAGGCAAGAGATGGGTTAACAAACTCGCTCTCCTTCGTGAAGGGAACTGCAGAAGGAGCGATGCAGATACAGAACGGAGTCATCGATGCAGTCAACCTGCCAAGCGCACGGAGAAGAGAATTATTTTTGAAGTCAGCATTGACCACAGAGATAACCGTTGCCAATAATACAGAGCGTCCTTTATTCCCGAAATACATACAACCAAGTAAAAGCTATGCAACTGCTCATTCCTGGCTGTTGCCCGCCCTCACCCCCTTTTTTGTTTCCATTTTAGTGGCTCCATTTCTGCCAGAATTTAACATTCACAGGGTGATGTCATTTCCTTTCTGGAGGGAAAAAGAAGCTTTCTGTTGTCAAGAAAAAAGGAGAAAGAAAAAAATAGAGCCAGAGAGAGACAGAGTTATTCTACTACCTTGGGAATTGGTGCGTTGCAATTGTATCATATGAAAGGAATGCAAAATGTAGTTCTTGCTTGAGATGGGGGGCTGGGGGGGCTTGGGGGCGGGCAGTTCTGGACAAAGCAACCCAGGAATGTATTAAAGGGAAAAAAAAAAATCCTATTCCAGGTCCTGGAAGATTAATGAAAAGATATATATATATATATATTTTTTTTTAGATGTGATACACTCAAATATTAATTCCACAGAATCATAAAAATTACACCTTCTGTGCCCTCCCCTACCCTAAAAACTCAGGCCCAAGAAATAGTTAAACAGGGACCCTTGGCACGTAGTTTTATAGACTAACTCACATCACTATGTGATAGCTATTGCTAATCCCATTTTGCAGGTGAGAAAACTGAGGCGCAGAGGAATCAACTAACCTAGCCAGGATCGTATGGCTGGGAAATGGCTGCATTCTAAGGCTGCTTCTTACTTTGATTCAGTGTTTTCTATTACACCTTGCAGCTTGCCATTCATGACTTTCAGAGAAGGCAGAATGCGTGTCCGCAGGAAGCTGGTCATGATTTTGCTCCTTTCCCTACTTGAGCTTACAATTCAGGTCAGAGTCATGGCTATATCCAGGCGTGGAACTTGCCAAAGGTATGGGCTGAGCCTCTTGTCTATATGTATGGAATACCAAGCAGGGACGCCACAGGAAGGGATCAAATGATCTGTCAACTCCCTCAAAGAACAAGAGAGAAACTGAGGCCTTGAATGGGCCCAAGTCACTGCGGGGCTCTTTCCAGGGCGTTAACTGCATTTATAAACTGCCAGTACCTTCCCCAGGCCTAGAACGGAGCCGATTCCTGGGCAAGGTGAGTAACGAGGACACAGACCTCAAAACACGAGCTGGTTCCCACCCAGAGCACACATGAGGCCCACAGGAAAGTCTATGGGGAGGCCAGCCAAGGCTGCGGCTGCTCCAAGGCCCAGCAGGAAGTCGGGGCTCCCGCACGCCCCCCTGTCCAGGTCCTAGAAGCCAGCGGGGGAATCGCACTGTTGTTGTATTACAGGGGCCAGCACCTGGACGGGTTGGGTTCCAGACTGCGTCATGAGTCAGAAAAGCCACTCTGCTCCAGTCACGATATGGTCACAGGACTTTGGTGTTGGTTTCCTGATCCGCAGAGAGGAACAACAGTGACTTCTCTTTCCTGTTAGGAGACCTATCAGGTCATGAGAATTCACCCAGCTACCAAAAAGACCTTGCACCAGGCCTGGCCCTCACCTTGCCGCTCAGTGGGAATTTCAGTATTGATCCTATGAAATCCATTTCTTCTTTTATCTTTGTTTATTTTTAAAAATGTTTTTGTAGATGTTTTTAGAGAGAGGAAGGAAGAGGGATAGAGAGATAGAAACACCAACGAGAGAGGAACACCATCGATTGGCTGCCTCCTGCACACCCACTACTGGGGATCGAGCCCTCAACCTGGGCATGTGCCCTGACCAGGAACTGAACTGGAAACCTCTTGGTTCCTGGGTCGGCGCTCAACCGCTGACTCACACCAGCCGGGCTCTTCTCATATCTGTAGAGAAACTCTGAGATGCTGTCCTAGGGTTCAGAGCTCAGAAGGTGCTCGAGTTGCGACTGGAATTCAGCTGCAATCCCTCCCACCGAAGAGATAGAAGGACACCTGAGGCCAACATCACATTCCTCACACAACTTCAATTTAAATTAAACTTCCTTTAATGAAATAAAAAAACAAATGGTGCATTGCGTAATAGTTGTGGTCACAGTATAAAACAATACAATCAGTTCATATAACATTGGAAATGGACAAAAATACACAAGATCCTTCGTTGGTCTACGTGAAATCTGGCAGATCCCATGTGCCACACTACAAAAGAAAGTCAACTTTTTTCTCCTAGTGATTTGCACCCAGTATTTATCACTGAGAATTTGGTCAAACAGTGGAAGAGAACTTACCCAAATCCCAGTTCCCTTCTTCCTCTGTGGTTATTGGTGAAGCTAAAAAGAAAGTTTTCTGAAAGTAGCAAGTTGTGTAGTATTGCTTATTATTCCTGCCACAAACGCCCAGTCTTTGGCTCACAGGTGCCCGTGACAAAATCGTGGCTGCAGGCGGTCTGCAAAGCAAGCGAGAGCCACCGGGGAAGCAGACAAGAGTCTGAGGAGAAGGGGCCTCCACCAGCATCCCGGGGAAAGCTGCGTGGATAGGAGGGGAGAAAAGACACAAATAAATACGTTTCTCCATGAAGACTGAAATCCAGTTGGTGAGTCAGAGTTCCACCGTCCCACGAAAAATCGGAAAAGTTGTCAAAAAGTCAGAGTTTGCATTTTTTTCTCTTCTTTTTTCTTTAAAAAAAGTGTAAGATGTATGTAAACATTACAAAGTAAACAATTGAACGTAATTTTGAGGCTCCTATCTGAACATAGCGTAGGCGCTTTCCGGGGAGACTTTCATGATTGGGGGGAAAAAACCAAACATTTTATCAAGTTTTGTTGTTGTTGTTGTTGTTCAGAAGTGCAACGTCGTCCGCGGGCATCGTGGCCGGGTCCTTCCTCCGCACGCCCAGTGCTTCTGGCAGGAACCCCGCCAGAGAGCGCATAAGAATGTCTCTCACACAGGCTGCTGGCAGGCGCATGTCCCTGGAGGAACGAGGTCCCTGTTACAATACCCTGGGATTTTCCCCTCGGACCCGCCCCCTGGACAGAGGGTGGGGTTGGGATCAAGCCTTGAACTACAACAGCAGTTTGAAAGGACAAGGGATAGTGTGAGCACAGGTCACCTTTCCTACTACCAAGTGTCTGGTGTGACCCTTTCATGGGCCACACACATCTGGGGCCACCTGGTCACGCCCCAGGCTAATACCCTTTCCTCTACCAAGAAGGGCTTCCGCTACAACAATCCTGAATCTTCTAGTGAGTGTGAGCGCTGCCAGGCTCCCGGGCACTGGCTGCTCCCAATGCAACACCTGCTTATGCGTTCTCTCTTTAACCTCCATGTGTACGCTCACCCATGACCCACCTCCTCTGAAATAGCAGTTAGGAAGCAACATGTAGACAATGCCCCACTCTTGCCGTCAGTGTGGCTCAGTGGTTGAGTGTTGACCTATGAACCAAGAGGTCACGGTTCAATTCCCTATCAGGGCAGGGGTTGTGGGCTCGATCCCCAGTGGCGGGGCATGCAGGAGGCATCTGATCAATGATTCTCTCTCATCATTGATGTTTCTATCTCTCTAACCCTCTTCCTTCCTCTCCAAAAGCAATAAAAATAGACTTAAAAATTTTTTTAAGAAAATACCCAACTCTAGTGCTATGGAGGCCTCTTCCTCTTCCTCCAGTCACTCATGCTCTGAGGCCCGTCTCTCCCGGTTCCATCTGTGCCTAGAAGTCATCTGTGCTGCCACCATCAGTGCAGGAGCCCGTGCCTACCCCACGAGTGGTCCCGCAGTGGGCAAACGGAGAGTGGGGGCCTGCCTCCTGGGGCTGCCTCGGTGATGCGTGCAGAAGGGGCGGTGGGCAGCAGAGTGAGGGAAGTGGAGGGAAGACTGTGGGCCGGGAGGGGTCGGGCTCGTCCAGCCCATTGTGACAAAGAGCCGTACATGAATGGCCATCGTTTCGTATTACTTTATTGCTCAGAACCAACGTGTCTTTTTTCCCCTTCGGAAGACAGAGGAGTGTCAGATCCTTCGGAGCCACGCAGCAGCACGGAGGAGTGCAATGCAGGGCGGGCGTCACCGCCGAGCCTCAGGGCCCCACGGGGAGGCTTCCGAAAGGCCGGCCCTGTGCCGGGGCCAGAACGGAGCGGAAGGTCTCTTTTGGTCCGTTGTCCTATTCCTGGTACAAGCAGTTGGGCCAAAGAGACTGCTCTCAGATCTCCTTTGTAGGCTGTTCCCAGGGCAATGCGTTGCTGGGTTTCCTTCATGTTCCTAACAGGAAAGCAAGCATCCCAGAGGCCAGCTCTCTCACCAGCCCTTGCAGGGGATCTCACAGACCTGCAAGGGCGGACAAGGCCAGGGAAAACACTCGGTTCTTCCAGGCGATTTCTGATCCCGTGAAGTCAGCCCGTCTCCAAGCAGCAAGAGTCCTTCACGTTAAGGAGAGCAAGCAGCCTTGGAAGGAGGGGAGGGGGGCACCTGTGGGTCTCCCTGGCCGTCCCTGGGTGTCCAAGGCCTTTGCCTCCTGCAAAGGACAGGACTGGGGACTGGAGGTGGCTTCTTCCGCCTGACACACCCCTGACCCTCCCAGCACGAGCTGCAGAAATCTAACTCTCAGGGTCCGCCTTCCGCTCTCCCTGGGGCCCCCGCGAGGCCCAGTGGCCTCTGCTCGATCGCAGCGTCAGTTCCTTCCCTTGTCCCCAGCCTCCTCTTCCTGGCAGACCTTCTCCCCGCCCTGGTACGAGTGGCTGTGTATTTTTCTTCATGTTCATTCTTAAGGCTAAGGTGGCATGATAAGGTGCTTGGTGGAGAGCCAAATCCTAGATTCCAGGGCTGCCTTTCTCAGCATGCTCACAGAAAGCAAAGAGCAAAGAAATGGAAAGGGGGCAGAGAGGCAAAAAACCAAAATCCGCGTCTGGGCTCGATGCGAAGCTACATACCGCAAGTTCAGATTTCCAATGTGGTCTAAGCCCCTGAAAACAGGGACCGGGCAGGGGGGGGTGAAGGCCACACATTCGCCCTGGGCACAGGTCCGTGTTGTCCCTGGGCCGGCGTGGAGGGCCACCCTCCTCCTAACACCTGCCTCCCACCCAGGAGCCGGCTGGCTCTCACCCGGGACAAAGAACTCCGAATGCCACTACCCCGCCCTCACCGCGACCCCTCGGGACAAAAGCTATAAACACACACAAGCCAGAGATCAATAAACCAGTAGGAGAAAAAAATTAGACAGAGGTTAACCATGAAAAAGCCGCCGTCGGGGAAAAGACACGCGCGGCCGTCCTCAGAAAGTGCCGTGGGAAGAGAAGCTGTGTGCTGGTAAACGTGTCCGCGCTCCAACTCCACGTGCAGAGGAGAGCGCGCCGAGTCCCACCTGAGATGAGCGAGGACTGGGTTTTAGTGTCACACACTTCACGTCAGAACATCACCGTCCTCTTCCTGCCCCAATCGCTCTGAGACCGTCCGTCCCCGTGTCGCTGCCCCGGCCTCGCTAGTCCATCTCCATGGACATGAGCCGGCGGCGCTCACGCCGGGTCTCCTGCACCTCCTTCTTGCAGCACCAGTGAGAGCTGCAGTACCCGATGAGGCAGGACAGGAGCCCCACGACGGTGGACAGGCCGACGCCGATCAGCAGCGGGTACTTGAAGGCGTTCAGCACTGGCAGGGGCAGAGCAGAGGGAAGCCAGTTAGTGATGCCAGGGCGGTGGCCGCAGGGCCCACCACCACCTCCTGTCCCCACTGGAGCCATCAGACCCCCTTTGACCTTGTCTCCAGCCCCCCGGCACACAGCACTGCTGGCAGGAGCAGCTCAGCCCTATCTGTCCAAAAAGTGGGCAAATGTCTCCCCACCCAGTGCTGCGGGGGGAAAGAAAACAGCAAAATGATTGCATTCGATGCCTTTGAATGTCAATTTGCTTTTTAGGGTTTGGCAGGAGATGGATTTTTAAAAGTCAGTATAAGGGCACCACACCCTCCGCAGCAGATGCCTCCGTAAAAAAACAGTACGTAAACCAATTCTAAGAGTCAAACAAATGAAGCGCACTCGGGGAGCTATTTTAAGTAACACTGTAGTAAATTATCCAGGAAAGTCAAGAGTCACTCCCGCACTTGTTTGGTAATCTGGGCTTCCTTTTTTTTTCTTTTTTTTTTTCTTTGCCACTTCAAGGAAAGAATTTCTAAGATGCAAATACGGTGCAAGTGTTAGGAATGCACACTGTTTAGGTCCCTCCCCCACTCCCCGAATCCCATGTCCCCTCCCCCGGGAAGTGCCAGCACGCCTTCGCGGATGCCCGCAATGTGGGAGGTGCCTGACATTTCGTAGGGCTGCACTTTCACACCCGCCCCAGGAAAGGGGGCCACCCCGTTTTACAAGAGAGGGAATAAAGATCGGAAGGGCTACATCATCTGTGGAAGAGCTGGGGGTCCAATTCCAGTCTCCCCTGAACTGACACTATCACCAGGGAAACAGACTCGAGTCTCCGAATGCTCAGAGGTCCCTGGACTGGAACTCTCTCCAAGGAGTTTTTTCAATCGATGTTCACCCTGAAACGTTTTGCAGAGATGGTTCTCATTAACTATCTCCGACACTGGGGTGCTCGGGGAACAGGGTGGCAAGGGGGCCCTCTGCCCACCTTGTTCACCTGACCCTGGTGGTCAGTGTGGGCCAAAGAGGCCGGGAACTCCCCCTCCCATCCTGGGGTCCCATGCAGAACCCCGCCATGCTAGTAACACCAGGAGGAGCCTCCCTTTCCCAAGAACCAACATCAAGGAGGACAAGAGTAGCAGGAGCCCACTCCCAGCATCTCCCCGGAGACCTGAACCGGCTCTCCTGACTCCGCTCTCTGCGGGCACAGTGAGCTTGCATGGAATTCATAGGAAGCATCGAAAATCTTCCCAGTAAGTCTTAAAAATCATTTCTCAGCGCTGCCCCCAGCATACGATACCGAAGCTGGGCAAACACCAAGGGCTGCCTGCTCTTTCTGGTACGGGCCCCGCCAGGCCTGGAGGACACCAGGCCGTGTTCTAGCATATTCCTCAAACGGGGGGGGGGGGAGCCCGGCTTCTGCCTGTCGCGGTCCAGCAGAGAGCAGACAGGATCTGTGCGCCACCCTTACCGTCCATCTTCACAGTTATAAAGACGGGCTTGGAGTAGATCTCCGCCTCCTTCTGCCAGGAACCCGTCGGCGACTTCACCCAGGGAGCCACGGAGCAATAGTAGTTGCCGAAGTCCTGGTCCTCGGAGCCGTGCACCTGCAGCAGGAACTCCAGCACGCCCACGCGCTCCAGGCTGAGGTCGCTCTTCCAGTCCCTGCGGGCCGTGCTCACAATCCCCTTGCGGTCCAGGGAGGACAGGAGGATGGGAGCCTTGTCCAGGCCAAAGGAGTGCACCACGAACCAGGACACGTCGAAGGCCATGTCATCTATGGATCACAAGCCAAAACCCTGGGGTCAGTGCCATGGGCGGAAATAGGCTGGCACGCAGGTCACCTGATGACGGGCCGGCACTGCTCTACCTGCTCTTCACGCCAACCCTGTGATGGAAGTGCTGTCACCCTCCAGACCTGTGGCGGGACCAAATCCCCATGAGTCACAGAGCCAGGAGGCAGCAGCGCGTGTGTCCTCCCTCTGGGAGTCCAGCCCAGGGGCCCCCGCTCGACCTTGTTGCTGCCACCACCCAGCCAAGGGGCACAGCAGGAAGAGTCAGACCCCAAACTGTCTCCCACAGAGAACACGGGGTGTAGAGCTGGTACGTGGTGAAATCACACGGCGTCTCCCAGAGAAAGCGGGGCAGAAGCACCCATGACTGGGAGGACATGAGTCATAAGGAACGAAAGGTCCATCCAGTGGATCATAAAGAATTTAGAGGCGCCAACAGTGTCAATGTTACGGCTCCCTGTGGCTTCCCCCTTCCTCCTCCCTGCCTCCCAAGAAGTGCTTAAACTCAGAACCAGAGGAAAAAAGTCAAGCTGAGAAAACTGAACACAATTGAACAGTCCCAGAGAGCAACGCTGCCAAACTGTAAAGTGTGCTGCAAAATTAAGCCTCAAATGCATTCATATGGGCATCAGAGAAGGAAGAGTTCGGCCCCAGTGGTAATGCTCACAGGATGTGAAGACAGCGTCCACCATGAGCCCTAGCGCACTGATACTTAATGTCCTCTTAAAAAGTGAGAAAGGGACACCAACTGTCACGAAGAGGACCGCCAAGAAAGGGTGTAAGACGAATGGCCACTACTCTTTGGCATCCTGTTGGCGATGCTAGTATTTCCTTCAAAGAAAACACTTACAGCGACTTCTCTAAGGATTTAATCCGCACTAGCTCCTCCTGGTCACCTGCTACGCATTTGCTCTTTTCTGCATTTCTTCCTAGCGTCAATCACTATCTGATGGTATACGGTGATTTCCTCCTGGTCTGCCTCCTTAACTAGATTGGCAGCGCCTTGAGGGCAGACTTGGAATATTTTGTTCACTCCTCTACTCCCAGCATCTCGAACAGCGCGTGTACACAGAAGGAGCTCAATAAATATCGGCATGATGAGGAGGACGAAAGACAAAGGTGAGGCGCTTCACTCTGCCGGTGGGTTTCACACCAGCTTGAATCGGCCCTGTAAGTGGCCCACTAATTGCCTGAACAACCCAGACAAAATATCTGCATGGGGCCCAGCTGGTGTGGCTCAGTGGTTGAGCGTCGACCCAAGAACCAAGAGGTTGCTGGTCTGATTCCCAGTCAGGGCACGTGCCCAGGGTGTGGGCTCGATTCCCTAGTAGGGGGTGTGCAGCAGGCAGCCGATCGATGATCTATGTTCTCTCTCATCTATGTTTCTCTCACCCCTCTCCTTTCCTCTCTCTCTCTCTCTCTAAAAAAAAACAAACAATAAAAACATATTTTTAAAAATATCATGTGTTTCCAATTCATCTGACAGATGCATCCATTCAACAAATATTTATTAAATACCTACTGAGACCTGAGCTGAGCAGTGTGAGGATAACTGGACAGCCCAATCCTTGACGTCCACGTCTGTGCAACGTAGTGGGGATGATGCAAGAGATATTTACAAAAGGCCACATGGGGAAAGGGTGGGAGAAGTACCTGGGTCCAGGGCTGCTCCTTCGACAGTGACGATACAGAACAATTTGATCAGATCTCCCCGGATGACTGAGGGCGTGTCTGAATACACGGAGGCATTAAATATAGGACCTGGAAGAAAATGATGATCATCATTCCCTTTCACAGTGTTCAGTCCTTAAAGGGTCCAGTCCCCTTCTAAGAGAACGCAAGACGATACAACCTAAAGAGATCCTCACAACCCTAACCGGTTTGGCTCAGTGGATAGGACGTTAGCCTGCGGACTCAAGGGTCCCAGGTTCGATTCCAGTCAAGGGCATGTACCTTGGTCGCAGGCACATCCCCAGTAGGGGGTGTGCAGGAGGCAGCTAATTGACGTTTCTCTCTCACCGATGTTTCTAATTCTCTATCTCTATCCTTTCCTCTCTGTAAAAATCAATAAAATATATTTAAAAGAAAAAAAAAAGATCCTCACAGAGGATTTAGGCTTTTATTTACTTAATTTGAACCAGCAAGGAAAGACTTACCTAATTTGGACAAATTTCCCTTTCTTTTCCTTCTACGACCAGAGAAAGCCCCAAACGCCTTTGAGGTCACCAGTCCCGGCCCTCACCTCCCCTCGTGGCCGCGGCTGCGGGAACAGCAGAGCATTTGTGCTCCGGCTCCCCAGGCCAGTGAGGACGGAAAGGCCTTCCCTGGGAATGACTCACCCAGCGGGTTTCCTGCTAATGAAACCAGCCACTCGCTGTTAATGTGGGTCATTATCCCAGGCTTAGAAATATTTTTATTACGGTCAATTTCTGTAGTGATGCTGTTTTTGTAAGGGGATTTGTCTGGTTAACTTCAAGATGACAGACTAGGCCAGTGAACAACCAGAGTCACTAGTTGTCCCCCGATTCCTCGTCTACAGAGGGTACGTGGACCACTTGGCTTTTAAAAATAAATGTTGACGCAAACCATCTTGCAACTCCAGCCCCTAAAAGAAGGCTGTTAGCAGCAGTGTTTTTGTGAAAGGCAAAACTGCAGACCAGCTGCATGACCACCAACCAAATTCTAGGAGGTTGAGTCATTAAAGATGGTGTTTACCTAGAACGTGTTATATAACATGGGAAATGTTTATGTTGTAATGTTAAATAGGAGGAAAGCAGGTCATAAAACTGTATATACAGTCTGCTCTCAACGTCATGAAGACAACATACCAGAGAAAATTCTAGGAAGACAAAGACTACAAATTAAGTTTATAGGTGAATCTCTTTTCCTTCTTTCTACTTTACTGTGTTTTAAGACATTCTCTATTAAGGAGAAAACCATCAGTAAGTCATGGCTCCATAGAAATGCAGTCCTCATACCAGGAGGCAAGTGGCCTGAGACCAGGGGACAGAAAGGTGGACACTAGGAAGGACATCTTTGCTGTGTGTGTCTGACAGTGTGCTGCTGATTGTAAGAAGTGGTTGGCCAGCATGACTTAGTGGTTGAGCATCGACCTATAAACCAGGAGGTCACAGTTCAATTCCTCGTCAGGGCACATGCCAAAGTTGTGGGCTTGATCCCCAGTATGGGGCGTGCAGGGGGCAGCTGACCAGTGAGTCTCTCTCATCATTGATGTTTCTATCTCTGTCTCCCTCTCCCTTCTTCCCTGAAATCAATAAAGTGACGACTCTTCAGTATCAAGTCAATATTTGCTAAGCGCTATTCAGGCTACGGCATTGTGCTGGATACTGGCTTTGACTGCAGCTTCTCTTACACTGTGAACTGGCCACGACAACTCCAGGGATTAAAATAAAAACCTTAGGCAGTGTATTCATCCTGGAAGCTACAGTGATTTTTTTTCTTTCCTGTTATACTGAGACATAAAGAATTGAGAAATAAATTCAATACCCATTCCTTACCCAGAAATACAAAAGATTGTATGTCTCCCCTCTTCCTCATAACAGTTTTAAAGAAACATCAAATAAGAAATGTAAAACAAGCTGGAATAAAGTTCTATAGACAGTAAAACAGACATACAAATAGTAAAAACACCATCATCTGAATCTTAATAGACACAGGAAAGCATCTGAAAACACCCAATACCTCTTCATGGTAAAAACACTCAACAAACTAGGAATGAAAGGAAACTCCCTCAACTCAGTTAAGGGCACCTATGAAAAACCCACATTCCCATGACACTTCATGGAGAAAGCCTGAACATTCCCGCCCGCTGAGACCAGGAACAAGATGTCCAATGGAGCCACCACTACTCAGCTCCGTATTAGAGGTTGTAGCCAGGGCCATCAGGCAAGAAAAAGAAACACAAGGTATTCAGTTTGGGAAGGAGGAAGTAAAACTGTCTTTATTCGCAGAAAGCATGAAGTCCTATTTTTAAAATCCCAGGGAATCGACCAAAAAACTAGAACTAAAAAACAACAAAGAAGTATCCAGGCCAAACCGTGCAGAGCATGGAGGCCGAGAACCCTGCCACAGAGCGGCGGTTCTGGAGCCCTGGCTTGCACCACAATCACCAGGAGGGCGGTAAAGCTCAGGCTGTGTGTGCCCACCCTCGGGGAGTGTGGCTCAGTAGGTCTAGGTGGGCCCAGCATTTGCATTTCCGTCAAGTTCCCAGGGGAAGCTGTTGTTGGGCTCAGACCATGTTGGAGAACGACCGTCCTAGGTTGAAAATAGGTTGCATCCCTCCGTGAGCAGAAGCAAGGTTCCAAGTATGCACTCTAAATGGGTAAGCTCTAGGGCACAGGAACCATATCTCAACAAGCTGTTAAACAAATAAAGCCCACGGGTCTCTTCTAGCTCAACCTCTGATTGCACAGGGCTCCCCGCTCACCTGAGGTTTGGAAGTCTATCTCAATAGGATTGGAGAGACTGGTTGCTGCTTCTCGCCACAGGCTGCCCCTGACAGGAGACCAGGCTGTCACCACGCAGCGGTACAGCCCTGCATCCGACACCTGAGTGTGGTACATCCGGTAGCGGAACTCGTCTTCCTGCACTTTCTCCAACACAACGCCGTCCACCCGGGAGGCATCTGTCCAGTTCTCCAGCCTCACCACGGCGTCCTGGTCCAGGGAGATGATGTACTTGGTCTCGTTGGGACTGGAGAGGTCGCCCGCAGGCTTCTCCGCCGTGATGAGAACAGAGTAGCGCGGCGACTTGATATTCTGGGAAGACACTTTGCAAGTCATCTCAAATGTATTTCCGGCAGCAAAGAAAGGCTTGGGCTGCCTCGCCTTCACCACGAGCACGGAATCTGGAATGAGGGAGCAGAAACAGGTGATGCCCGATGGGATCAGGTCAAATGGATATGTATCTGAAAGAACGATGTCAAGGAAATAGGAATTTATTTGCAAACTGCCACATAACGGCACTTCAGACAATGTGGAAACCCAGAAAAATCACGTGATGCTGGGGGAAGGGGAGCAGCCTAAAGTGACTTATCGGGTGTGAGGGAAGCAGAATTGATGGGTGGAAATTTAGTTTTGAGGTTTTTCAAGTCCTTAAGAAGAGTAAGAGTTTGGGTAGCCATTGGTACCTGCCCCTCACCCCCTAAGGATGTGAGAGAGCGCTCACTCTCAGGGAAGGGGGAAAGACAGGCTCTAAGAGACACCACGTGCCTCTCCTCTCCTGAGATCCCGCTGGGTGCAAGGGAAGAACCCTCAGCCTAACCAGCCTCGTGGAAGGGCAGGGAAGGGAGAAACGTGTGCTCTCCGTTCAATCCTGCGACGGTAACGTCACAGAGCAGATACCGGTATTTACTGAAGTGATGGACACACCCACCTGCAGATCTAGTCATTTCCACAGAGACACTGCTGAACACTCTGAGCATGCATCCATGTCTACACTAACTTTAGGTGTTAAGTGTGTTACGCCCCATATCTCTGTCCAAAAAAATAATAATTAAAAAAAAAAAATCTCTAAGCATATACACATCAGAAATCACCGATGTTAGAACAGCTCAGTGTCAGGCACTTTGGTGCTGAAAATATTTGCTGAGTGGATGAATAAATGAATTAAACAGTCTTTTCATCCTTTAAGGAAATAAGATGAGATATTTATGTTGGGGTTTTTTAAGAATAACTGTTCCACCAAACCTGTGAGTAGAACATGTATGTTACGGCGTCTCTCCAGAATCACCAGTTCTTTTTCTTTTCTTTCTTTTTCTTTTTTTAAAATATATTTGTATCGATTCAGTGAGGAAGGGAGAGATAGAAACTCCAATGATGAGAGAGAATCTATAAATTAGGCAATTTTATTGATAGATTTGTTCTTACCATAGATCTTAGCAACCTCAGCATACAATCTTTGTTCTTTCCTTATTAATTCAGGAACTTCCGCCTTTTCATTGAAACAAAGCACTTTATGGCTTCTCTTTGGCACATCCAAATTGCCAGCATCGCTACTCTTGCACGTTGGGACCGTTATTACGTAAAATAAGGGTGACTTGAGCACTTGACTGCAACACCACAACCGTCGACCTGATCACCAAGAGGCTGCTAAGTGGCTATCGGGCGAGGAGTGTGTACAGAGCAGAGATGCTGGACAAAGGGACGACTCACATCCCAGGAGGGACAGAGAGGGATGGTGTGGGATTTCGCCACACTACTCAGCATAATGTGGAACTTAAGATTTATTAATTGCTAATTTTTGAAAGTTTCTTTTTAATGTTTTTGGACCGCCCAGGGGCAAGGAAAGAATGAGAATAACAGGTGGGCCAGGAGGTGTGGGGAACAGAAAGATAGAAGGGATGGGAGGTCAAGATTAATTTAAGTTAAAAAAAACACACTAAAACAGGAGATCTAACAGCATGTTTACAAGCCAATGGGAAAGGTCCAAAAAGAGAGAGAGATTGAAGATACAGGAGGGAAGCCATGTGCCTGAGTAGTGAGAGGTCGCCTAACTGTGAGCTCGGCGCTGGGGAGGGTGTGACAATTCTCCCGATTGTTTCCATTTGCTTAGGGCCTAGAAAGCAGGACCGGGAGCTGCGAGGGAGCTGGGGGAGGAGTTTTTCAGATAAAGTGATATGCAGTCATCATTTTAAAGAGTAGGGAAGTGAACAGATTAAGGAAACGTAGATGATGCCCAGGGAGTGCTGAGAGCCCACTTGACATGAATGATCGCAGATCTAATCTAAAAGGAGCCCAGTCAACATCTTTAAATGTTTTCTCCAACCACACTGAGCTCTGCAGATGCAGAGAGGGAGGCGGCAGAGGGCTGGCTCTGAACCGGGGTGTAGCTGAGCCAGAGAGCAGTGCAATCGGGGAGCTAAGGGTGTGCGGGGAGTGACTGACTGACTGACTGGGAACCTGGCCTAAGTAACAGCAGGGTGACTCCTAACTTATCGGACCTCCCACCCGGGGCATGTCCAAGAATGAAGAGGGTGCTATTAAAAATGACACAGGACCTGGCCAAGAGGCTCAGTTGTTTGGAGCATCGTTCCGCACAACAAAGGGTTGCGGGTTCGTTTCCCGGTCAGTGTGTGTTCAGCAGGCAACTGATCGATATTTCTCGCTCTCTCTCTAAAATCAGTAAACATATCATAGGGTAAGGATTAACAACAACAACAACAAAAGACTCAGGATAACAGGTATAGATTGGACTACCCTGGGCAAATGGTCACCCTCTGTAAGGCTGAAGTGAGGACAATGGGAGTGAAGGACAGTGCAGGGCGGTAGGATTAACGGACTGTCTGTCCTGGTAGGCTGAAGAGTTGATGTTGGAGTCTAGAGAGAGTGATCTAGAAAGGCAGTGGTGTGCATCGAGAATAGGACGTTTGAAATTGGGAGCATGCAGGTCTTTCAGTTATCAGAAGGGAGGTGGTCTAGTTCGGGTGTAAGCGGGGCATGAATAACAACAATAGGACAGAGGACGTGATGACCAGAGAGAAGGACAAGGGGCCGAGAATGAAAAGCTTATCTACACTGTGGCGCCTCAATGTGCCTGCACCCAGTGGGAACTCATGGTGCGGACACTCCCAAAGGCCCATGTGAAGTCCGGCTTACTAGTAAGACCCGCCCAGTGGAGCAACAGTGTCAATGGCTGACCCCATGCACACCGTGAGTGGCTCCAAGATGAGTCTTTGCCACCGACCCTGCCCAGCGCTCTCCCGAGGACTTACCCTTGTCCAGCCTCACCACCCGACAGGGCTGGGTGCTGCAGAGAGAAGCAGCAGTCATTTGAGCATGCCTTTCCTGGATCCCTCGTATAAATGGAAACCTGCAGGGTGACTGTGCATCTGAGAACATACAGTCGGATGACTTAAGCCAAAATATGAACAGAGAACAAGGACAAAGCGCCTACCTTCTGAGGCCCAAAATATATGGACAGGTTTAGAGAAGACATCCCTGCTCTTCACCCAGCTGCTGTTCCGCTGTCTGGTCCAGGCGGACACCACGCAGTAGTAATTGCCCCTGTCTTCCTCTGTAGTCCTTTGGATTCGGAAACTGAACGTGTCCGCACGCTCCTTAGAGAAAATAAAGTCTCCGTCCCGGGCCCGCTGCCTGCTCCTCTCTCCGTACTTGAGCGTCCAGTCCCCGTCCATGGCTGCGAGGAGCTCGCTGGTCACCACGTCGTCGTTGCGCCGGTTCACCCTGTAGTACCAGGACACCGTGACACGGACGCTCCCCTCCATGCTCCTCTTGTCCACCACCCGGCACTCCAGCTCCGTGAGGTCGTCGGAGAACTCGGGGACCTTGGAGGCATTCAGGTACACCTGATAGTCTGGCTCTGAACCAAAGAGAGAGGAACGGGGCTGAAAAATCAGGCGGCAACATCCCAAGGCTTAGCAAAAAGCACGAGACATGTACTCCTCTTGTCCTTAAATTAAATGCTTATCCTGCCAACGACAAAGACAGAAATGAAAGTCCTTGCATTGGACGGGAAGGAGCCTGGAAGAGCTGTTATTGCAAAACTTGTACAACTCTGTCCCCAAGAACACTTCCAAAGCCAGAAGCCCAATGTCCCCATCAGAGCCTCGATCTTTCCATAGGGGTGGGGTCTGCAGTCAGTTTCCCCAGGAGCCTGGACTCTTTGGAGAAGGATCTAAGAAGCCTGGTGTCCACACTCTGCCAAGATTTCCCCTGGAATGCCAAGCAGTGCCCACAGACCCCACTGGAACAGCACCGGAAAACACTATCCCAGAGGACATTCTAGCACTTGAGGCCAACCCACCCCATCGCGGCGCGGCTCCTGCCATCCTTGGCTGGGCCCCAAATGCAAGGCCCTCAGGCCGCCACCCCCATGTGGTCTCACCCTCACTTTACTGGTCCCTGGACTTTCTCCACTGAATCTGTTCCATGGTCAATAAACACACCATCCTCAAACTCCCAACTGACATTCTTCTCACGGCCACATGGAACTCGCCCGTATAAAGGTCAACCTTGAAGAGCCTGGCTCGCTGAGGCCCCACTTTCCTGCCAGGCACCGATCTGACAGGGAAGAGGGGGAAAGCCAGCCTTCTCCTAGCGTCCCCATGGCCATTGTCACGGTCCTGTTATTTTATAAAAACCTCTCCTTCTGAGGTTCACGACATTAATCCATTTCTGCAACTCCACGTCGACCCCGAGCCCTTCCTCCACACTTGCCAAGGAAGGGATATTAGAACCCCCTTGCCACCTCCTTCCCTCTACCCCCACCCTCCGAATGTCACCCCCCATTATCTAGAGTCCCCCCCAGTCACCACAGTCTCACACCTCTGTGGCGGCCTGTTTGCAGTGGCTTCTCCTCTTGACTGCCCTGCAACCCCCCACTCATTCCTCAGCGTCACCTCCCCTGCACCCCCTTCTTGGCGTCCCCAGAGTGTGACACTTTCTCTCTATGCTTCCATAAGACGGGCATGTGACCCTGGGTAGCAGGAGCCCCACCCTGTTACACTCCTTGCTTCGGTCTCATCCCCAAGCTCCAAACACACAGCCTCGTATGCAGTTGGCACTCAGTAAATGTTTGCTGCTTTCATAGTAAGGCGTTTAGAAAAGGCTACATTTTTCTTTCGTAGCACTTTGCCTTCTGGGAGGGAAAATCACTCTACCTAAACAGAAGTTTCGTTTGCCAGCACGACCTTTATTCACCTCGGTCTGACAGTGTCGTTTTATTTCACGTTGTTTTTATTTATGACTCATTCAGATTATAAACTGCTGAGGTCGAGGAACTGTTCTTTTTTGATTTACGCTTCTAATGAAATGTGTAACATCAAGGCTGCCCCAAGAACAATTCACTGGGCCAGGCAATGGGAAGAACTCAAAATCCTAATTCTGTCTCCACAAGCACTTGGTTGCAAGTGAGGTTGGACCCTGTGCCGTTGCCAGTTAAACCAACGTGGCCCTGCCGGCCCCTGGGAGCACGCCCTGCCATGAGGTGGCTTCTGGGACGTCATCCTGCCTCATCTTTCAGACAAGTCGCACGGCTGGGGGTTCCTGCCTCCCGGGCAGCGGGGGCTGACACACCACACCGCCTCCCTAGCGACAAGGGACTGCGGAACGAATACCACCGAATGTATTTGTACCGTCGCGTGCATAAGCCGAGGTATTCCCGTCACCCCGCACGCAGGGTTTCAGACCCTCTCCTCCTGGCAGCTTCTGGCACAGCGGCTGGAGTGCAGACAAGGGTAACAAGCTCAGTTCACGTGGACAGGACAGACGGAACTGGCTGCGCACAGGGCTGGACGCACTCTTAGCTCCGGTCCGGACCGACCCGGACCGTGCCAACATCGAGAAGCCTTGGGAAGCTCTTTACTGAACGGGTGGTCTCCTCAAGAGGGGGACCCTAATGCAAAGACTAACAAAAGCAAGTGAACTTACAAAGGGAAGGTCCTAGTGACTTACAATAGCGGTCGCCAACCTTTCGGACCTCACGGACCACCAATGATCCACGGACCACCGGTTGGCGACTGCTGCTTTTATTAAAGGACGTTTCAAGGTCACCTGAACTATCCACCAGCCTTGTAGGTCGACGAGACTTGTACTCCTAGAGAAGCTATGACTCCACTATGTCAGAACAGTAGTCAGAGATGGGCTCTTATTTCTCTCGTTTGGTGCATGGATGGAAGTGTCCTGTGTTGCTCTGTGGGCAGAGACTGCGCCTGATCCCCATGGCCCATTGTGCACGTACCTCACCTCTCCTTCTAACAGAGAATTCTTCCTTTGCGCTGACCTAGCCTGTCACACCCCCACTTCTTATTCAACAAACGTTCACAGACACCCTACCACCCACCAGGCTCCCTGCTCTCTAAGGACTGTACCTGAACACGGCCTTGAACTCTGGTTGTGTCTTATGGACCTTCCTCACAGGGCCAGGCACTGCCTACCTATTCAAACATATGTGCTACCCACGCAGTGCCTTGTTCATAAAAGATATTGCCACACTTGCTGAATTGGACTGCATTTCATATTTTGCATAAAAAATGCTCATTTTGGGCAGAAGCATTCCACCACTGATTACCGAGGCATTCTGCTTGATCTCATCAAGAAATCTGCTAAGAATGCCATGGTGGTTATGTTTAAAAATGCGTATCAGTTAAAGATGCCTACTGAAGTATTTAATGGTAAAATGACACGCTGTCTGGCATGTGCTTTAAATTCTTCCTGAAGAAAAAAAAAAGTGAGTGTGTCTGTGTGTGTCTGGGGGAGGGAAGAGAGATTAAATGAGATTGGCAAAATATTGATCATTACTGAAGCTGGTGGTTCCTTCTACTTCTGTGTACATTTCTCAGCCAATTCTATTCCAACAGCACCACATGTGAGCAAGCCTTCTCTCAGCACAGAGGCCGAGGAGTGGCGTCACCAACATTCCAACAAGCAAGGGTCTGCTCCCTAATCCGGTGCCCTGGACGGTGTCTGCTCATAAGCACACTGCCTCCTGGAGCCATGGCCTCCATCACTAGGAGCCCCCCTCAAATCAAAGACCACGGTCTTTGCATATGGGTCTTGAAACTCCTTTGTTACAACTTTCAAAACAATGAGCTCTCAGAATCACTGGCCGAGTTATCAAAGCAGATATTTTGTGCCTACTGTATGCAGGGGCGTAGCTGCAGGTTTTCACAGATTACCTGCGTTCACTCTCATAATTCGATAAGGAAGGTATCATTATCCCCATGTGACAATGACAATGACAATGACAACGACACGCATTTATCGAGGGCTTCCTACAGGCCAGGCTCCCACCATGCCATGCGCTTTCCCCACACTCTCGCTTACTCTTCTCAGCGACCTTATGAGACAGACACTATTTTCAGGCACATTTCCTAAATGGAAAACAAAAAACACACTCCAAACACAGGGTACAGATGATGGGCTGAAGAACTGTGCACCTGAAATTGTATATCGCCCAATAAATCCAATAAAAAGAAAAACAAAACAAAAAATACCAAAGCCCAGAGGAATTAAGTAAAAAGAGTCCAGCCTTGCACAGTATGTGTGAGCAGAATTCCAGGCTGGGCTTTGGCTCCATGGTCCTCCCACTAGGACCAAATTACACAACCTTATTACTCGTCCCAGTTTATTAACACTTTCCCAGAGCCTGCTGTGTCCCAGAAGACGCGAGTGATGGTTAACAGCCCAGGCACTAATCCGGACCGTGGCCCACAGGGCCATGTTCTAATACCCCTTTGAAGCATAGTGAACTTGGCACAGCTAATCAGAGGAACAGGCTGCCTGCCTGAGTTAGAGGACATGGGAGTGTCCTCTCTGCTGATGGGGTTTCGGGCAGGTATCTCAGAGGCAGCTGAGCAAGTTGACTAATTGCTAAAGAGTTGCCACTATCACGTTTGTGTAGAACAAAATTCTCCAACATTTACACCGAGGCTACAAATAAGGGGCTGTTGTTTTGAGGGGACATCTGACTCCTCCGTAGTAGAACCATTATTCTGAAGCTGGATTTAGATTTAGCCATGTCAGAGCCATAAAGGTAATATTGTTTGAATGGTTCAGTTATGTCCCCCACACAACGTAACACTCATGTGGTTTTGCTCCGTTCCGTCTTCACTCGACTCCTCCCAGAGAAGAGTGAGTTACCAGATTTGGGGGCGGGGACAGGAAAGGGACTGGGTGTGGTCAGCTCAACCCCCTCTTCTTGGGAGGGGTGCTTCCAGGACACACACACTCCCAGTTCCTCCATGCCCTAAGACAGACTCCTATGTCTTACTTGGTTAAGACCTTGGTGGGGAAGAGTATGTTACACGTTGACACCCTCCCTACCCCCGAACGCCCACACCAGTAAGTCATCACCACCAGCATGAACATGTACTGAGCACTTGAGTACCAGGCACTATGCTAAACACTTTTTAAATGCAGCGAAGGTAACCCAGAAAACCACAGCTTAGAAACCGTAAGTGACACACCCAAGATGACACACCCAGAGGGTCTCAGAGCAAGATTCCCACACTTACCTACGGGCTCTTCTGCCTTCAGAGATAACCCTGGTCAGGCAGCTAATCATGGCTGCCTATTAACAGACTGCAGGTCTAACTCCTATCGCCTGTAGATGGCACAGAACGCTGAAGTCTCTGCCACGTACTTAGCAGATTAACAGCTCCTTTTATTTTTATTTTATTTATTTTTTTTTTAAATATATTTTATTGATTTTTTACAGAGAGGAAGGGAGAGAAATAGAGAGTTAGAAACATCGATGAGAGAGAAACATCGATCAGATGCCTCCTGCACATCTCCTACTGGGGATATGCCCGCAACCCAGGTACATGCCCTTGACCGGAATCGAACCTGGGACCTTTCAGTCCGCAGGCTGACGCTCTATCCACTGAGCCAAACCGGTTTCGGCAACAGCTCCTTTTAAAGAAAAATAATTACCTTCCTCGCTGGCACACTGCTGGAAGAGGGGACGGCCCTCTCGTGGGGAAGGATGCAAATCAGGTTCCTACCCCCAAGCAGCAGAACTCAACTCTGCCTTCCCTGCTCTCCAATCGATCGGGAAGCCCGTGGAAGCCTCTCCAATTAACACCACAGAAGCTGGTACTTGGGGCAGGGAGCTCAACCACCAACTCATTAGCGCCCAACTCGTGCCAAAGGCTCATTTCCGACATCTCACAGCAGAGAGAGATGGCTTAAGATGCAGATTAACCCGCGATTCCTCCAGACCCCCTCTAGTTGTAGCTATACACCAAACCGCATGGACACAAAGCAACATTTGTCCTCCACAGTAACTCAGCTCCTTACAGAAACTCCTTCACACACTTAAGATTTAGGCCCTCAGCTCTTACAGAAAGTGGACAGAAGAAACATCCATTTAAACAATCACTCGGGGCCTTTTGTGAAAGAACAGTGGAAAGCCCTGTCCGTTCTGTTATCCAATGCCCCTCAAATAACAAAGCACATGACAAATTCAGTGCCAAGAGAAAGTTTGTCTCCCTGCGTTTGATTTCCTTTATCCGAGGAGGGCTGCCTAATCACATTCCTTTGTGCCTCAACTCTTCAAAACTTCAGAGGCAAGTTCAGTGTTCAAATGCAGCAACTTATTTGCCCAACTACCTTGAGCTATCTACCCTTTGATTTTTTTTAAACCTCTGATCTTGATTTTATTTTTATGTCTCCTGCTTTTAACTGTGATTCATTTTGCAAGCCAACTTGAATCTTTTTTTTCCCCTTCAAAAGTAGGACACAAACCCTAAGTAAAAGAGGCCTTTTCTTACCCTCTTAAAAAAAACAAACATCAAGGTCTTCCCAGCCGCTACAAACGCTCTTGGACTTGCCAGACCCATTCATGTCACTGCCCTGATCTCTGTCTGGTTAACACAATAGAACGAGAGAAAGTTCCAATCAGCTTCAGCCCCTCATCTGCTCAGAGCACCAACCCCAAACAGAGAAGGACAAGAATGGCCCAGCTTTTAGGACTCTTACTTTGACCACCAGGAAACAGTGCAAGTGACAAGGTCGATCCTGAGGATAGCTTTTTTAAAATATATTTTTTATTGATTTCAGAGGAGGAGGAGGAAAGAAACATCAATGATGAGAGAGAATCACTGATTGGCTGCCTCCTACATACCCGCTACTGGGGATCAAGCCTGCAACCCAGGCATGTGCCCTGACCAGGAATTGAACCATGACCTCTTGGTTCATAGGTCGATGCTCAACCACTGAGCCACGCTGGCCGGCCCGGAGATAGCTTTTTAACTGGCTGGGCACTTTCACTTCCTGCCTCTTGGAAGCCAGCCGCCACGTAAGGAGTGTGACTGCCCGAGAAGACTGTGCTGTGAGAAGCCCAAGCCACGTGAAACGGACTTGGAGGATGAGATGCCACGTGGGGACAGAGGGAGGCCTGGGAGCACAGGACATGTGCACGAGAAAGCCATCTGGAAGGGAATCCCCATCTCGGCCGTCCCAGCTGTCGCCATGTGCCTCAGAGACGAATCCCCTGAGCCCTTCCTAATGCCTGACCCTCAAAACCGTAAGCAAAATAAAAACCCACGGTTTTCAGAGGCGGGTAGGGCAGCACCTCACTCACAGGTTGTGGCAGGGATTAACGAGTTAGTGCATGTAAAGCCCTTAGCCCGATGCCTGGCAGGCAGTAAGTGTTCAATAAATGATAATGATAATTTTTAATATGTCAAGTAGCAAATTGAGAGTTCTGTGTAACACCTGCAGAGCGAACCAACTGTCTCAAGAACTCTTTTGTGACAACATGCCATAGTCATACCATAAGATGAGCCATGCCAACAGAGGACTTGGCAGGTGATGCCTTCCTGTCTTTTTGGGGTGCCTCTCAGTGACCTCTACAGGCCCCAAGCTGCACATGGTATGGTATCCACATACATACACATGCACGTTGTGTATCTAGAAGAATCACATGTCAGGCCGGGTCCATGGGTTTCTGGGCAGCTATTCAACTGGGAGGTTCTGGAGAAAGATCGGCTGCTGTACTCGAGCCGGACGTGCCTCCTGACAAGTGTCCAAGCAGCTGTGATGGTGTGAGTCACAGGCACAGGGAAGGGGAGACTCAGGAGGGAGAAGGGAGCAGGAGGCCATCGGCTTATGCCGTCCGCCATCCACTCCCAGTAGGCTTACTGGGTGCACATGGCTCTGAAACTCTGAATAGAACACCAATGCTTTCTTTGCACATACTTCACCACTGCCCATGAGTCCGGCGCTGGTTTATCTAGCCAGCCAGCCAGCCAGCGCTCACAGAATGCCTGTTACGTGCATGGCGCTGCGCAAGGTGTGGGGTCTGTGCACCTCGGCGCCAGGCAGGGAAAAGCACACAGGTGACTTCGCAACAATGGTGCTGGCACTTTGCAGAAAAACAACTGGATCCTCAGGATGATCGCTGAACCGTTTCCCACAATTCAGTCTCTTTATTTCTTCTCACTTTGGACAACAGACCCCAACAAATCCCTTCCAGTCAAAAGAGCTCGCTCCCTCCCAGAGCCCCCCTCCAGTGCTGGCACCCCCAGGTATGCCTGGATCAATGTGGGAGGACTTCAAAGGGGCCCTCAGGTTGGGGAGCAGGCAGCACTTTCTAAAAAAAAAAAAAAAACCCTGGGGCTGTGATTCTGAGTCAGAGGGGGAGGGGGAGAGGGAGGAGCAGAGGGGGCGCCGGGATCTGACAGCACCACACAATGCTCCGAGGATCAGCTCCAGAGATGAAAAACCTTCTCTGGGCTGACAACATCTGTTTTATTTTGAAGGTTGCTAAGGAGAGTTCTAGCCGGGCCAACATTGTTCCAGTTCAGAACTTCAGAGCGAGTCTCCTGCGTGGGGTGCAGGAGGCAGGGATAAAAGCTTGCCAGATCAACCCTGCTCCTTTCGCTTTCAGATATCAAAGCATCGCTTTGCGACCAGGGATGACGCACGCCCTGCCTAGTCGCGCTCCGAACTGGATGTACCTTCTGCTTACTCTCATTACTCGTCCTCTCCCTGCCCGTTCGGTCCCCACTTGCCAACTCCCCATCTCTGCCAAATAAAAGGCTTATTAGGAAGACACAGACCCAAGAACCCATAAGAAGATTTCAAGGCAAAGGAAGAGCCAAGTATGAGCTGGGGGTGTTTAGCATCAGGCAAAGGAGGAAGTGACTTCCTAGCCTTTGAAGAGGTTTCACTCCTAATAATCAGAGCCATGCCTAAGGCCGCCAACGGGGCTCTGAGCGGGCGTGGGACGCAGAGCTGGAGCGCGGGACAGGGAAGGGTCTGACTGGCAGGCCTGCTTCCATCCCTGTGATGATGGAGGTGGACAGCGAGGCACACTCCACTCGACCCCATCCTGCCTAGGTTTACCTGTAATTACTTACAAGACCGTAACAGAAACCAGAAAAAGTGGGTCTTGCCAGGCGGCATTTAGGACAGTAAGAGGTGGGGAAGACTAAGTGGGGAAAAAGAAAGGACAAGACAAAGATCGTCACATATATGACAAGTTGGTATACACGCGTGGCAAGGGGATCAACAGGTGATGGCGCATTGTGCCTGGGTGAGAGCCCACCAGGAGAGCTGGGGCAGCAGGAGGGCCCTTCTGTGCAACGGGTATATCTGCAAAGAAATCATTTGGCGATTCTAGGGCATTCAGAAAAAACACGTGTCCCATTCGCTGCAGAATTCTCTCTCTCCGCACGGGGCTTGGCCAGGGAGCACCTAGGCGCCGGGGAAGGACAGGAAGCATGACGGCGGCCCCCCTGCACAACGGTCCGTCTCAAAGGGCCATTGAGCAGGGCTGGACCCTGCAAATCTCGACAAAAGGAAACTCTATCCTCTCAACTGAGGCCACATTATCTAAACATTGCCCTTGCCTGCCAGATTCTATTTCAGCCAGTGTTGCTTTCACCCCCAGCTTGGGACCTATCCAAGCCGCTCATCCTGGTACCGAGAACGCCAAACTAGCATGAAACGCACAGCGCTGTAGCTCCTGATACCCCCCCCCGAGGAGGGACGACCCCAGGGAGGGTAGGAGCCACCCTCCAAACCACTCACCGAGCCAAGTCACATCCACCCCCACTGGGGCCGACGTGGCTTCTGCCACCTTGTGCGAGCTTCTGTTATGCCCCGGTACCCAGAGCGCCACATGGCAGGAATAGTAGCCGGAGTTCTCTTTGCTAACATCTCGAACCAGTAAATGGTAGGAGCGAGCATCCACGTGACTCAACGCGACGTGAGGAGAGCTGTGCACCAGGGAATCGCGGTCCAGCCGTGCCAACACGTGGGGGCCCGGCACAGTGCGGTCAGGCGTCCTGCTGAAGTACCATGTCACCTCGGGGCGGACGTCATCCGCTCGGTCGGTTGTGATGTTGCAGCTTAGGTCCAGCTCCTTGCCTTCAGCCACAGACACGTTCCTGCCCACGGCGGCTCGCAGAACTCGAAGATGAAAAACAAGGACATCTTGATAATCTGGATGATGTTTGTCCCTTTCACCTCCCCCGTGCCCTCTTTTAGATCATTTCCTTTTAGGTTCTTATTTATGGCATTAAAGTGAGAAGGCCTTGTACAGCTGTAAATGCTGGAGAAATTTTTCCTAAATAAACTCATAAAGGACATCACATTTCCTTTTAATTCATAAAAATTTATATACATTTACTCTATGCCAGATACTGTTCTGAGTGCTTCATAAATATTAATCTTCAAAGCAACCCTATGAGGTAGGCACTATTATTATCTCCCTTTTACTGCTAAGGAAACTGAAGCACAGAGAAGGTAAGGAACTTGCCCAAGTTCACACAGCTAATAGGTGGCAGAGTTGAAATTCAAATCCAGGCTGTCTGCCTCCAGGAACTCTGCTTTTAACTGATACACTACTGTGTGAAAAGAAGTCTGCTGAGCATCACAAAACTAAAATTATACTTTCTCCATGTGTGTGGTAAGACCTGGGCGTTTTATAGAGAAATGACGGTTCTGTTCGGATTGGTACATATTATTCATTGGGGACTGGGGGCTAGAGGGTAGCAGCGAGGGTGAAACCATCTTTTGGTGAAAGAGGGGAGAATCCTAAACAGAAGGACTGGGAAAGTGAAACCAGACCGTACGCCAGATGAGTCACATCTTCAAAATGCAATGTACGCAGCGCGTCATTTATTCCATGAGACATACCTCCTTGCAGTTAAGCGTAAAGCATATATTTTCAAACTAAAACAATGATTTTGGGGTTACCCGAGCCGCCGCCCTCTCTCATCGGCCTGGACGATGAAAAGTGGCCTATATTTAGGAGGAGCGCTGCCGGGCTTGGAGCCACAGCCTGGAGGCAGCTCTGGTTTCAGCATTCCCCTGTCACAGCTTTTTACATGGAAACATTTTACTGTATTTAGGGGGCTTTTGAAAAGAAGTCGAACATCTGTAATCAGAGTAGAAAAACATTCAACTCGTGGTAATGCTGTGGGAACAGCTGCTTTAGATGATACATAGCCAACAGCTCCCGGGGGATGGGGGCCGGTGTGGGGGGGACAGGAAGCACAGGCACAGTCCTGGTCCTCCAGCAGGAGCCTCGCAGCTTCAACTGCTGTCGGAGGCGGCTCACTGACCGAGGCCGGTGCCAGTTCCAGCAGGACCAGCCCCGCAGAGCATGCCCTCTGGAGTTGAAGTGCTTTCCTATGAATAGTTCCAAAGCCTGACAACATTTCAGACAAGGGTTTCAGGCCAAGTTCAAGACCCACCTTGATGAAGACAGAAACTGAGGTGGGCATAGTAATTAGAAAAAGGAATTTCAGTCTCATTTCTCACCTCCACCTACCCTCCAAAGTCTTCCTCCTCTCCAGGTAGGCCCTTTTATAGGGGCCAAGCGTAATTTGAAGATGTCTTTTTATTTTATTTTTAAATATGTTTTTATTGATTTCAGAGAGGAAGGAAGAGGGAGAGACAGAAACATCAATATTGAGAGAAAAATCATTGATTGGCTGCCTCCTACACACCCTCCACTAGGGATGGAGCCCACAACCCGGGCATATGCCCTGACTGGGAATTGAACGGTGACCTCCTGGCAGCCTCACCGGACAGACTAGGAGTCAGTCTTTAGAGGAGTTAGTATGGAAACTGTTGCCCTGAGTCTGTGCTGTGGTTTGCACCGCCCCACGTACGACTGTGGTCAGAGACCCTGGGATACTGCTGAGCCCTGTGCCGGCCACCAGCTGCTGGAGGTGGACGACAGCTCAGAGGGAGCCGGGTGCGTGGAGAAGTGGTCCGCACAGCTGTGGGCTGTCCGCACGGAGGAAACAGTCTTAGGTTGGGCAGTGGCAGGAATGTCTCTTCAACTGTACAGCTCTCTGTGTAAAGGTCTCTGCAAGTGGCTAGTACCTTGTCACACCACTAACCATCGTTCCCACATGTTTGGGATTGGGGGAGGGGGTTTCCTGTGGGAAACGGGAAGAATTCAGGCTGAAGCAAAAGGAAGCAGTTCTAGGGACTCGTAACGCAAGAGGGGAGTGTTCACACAGCGGGGAACACGGTTGCCCAGGTGGCACAGCCCACTGTCCCAGGAGCTTTGAGCTGTTTAGCACAACAATGCGGGAAGAAGCCGGCACGGACAGTGCAGGTGCTGATGAGAGAAAGAGCAGCACTCCAGTGCAGGGTTGGAACCTGGGGTCCACAGAGTCCATGATGGGTGAATGAGAAAACATTTCTATTCTCCTACCTGAAATATAGCATCTCCTCTCATGATGAGACTAAGCTACAACCCAGCGTAGTGTTATCTGCTTCTTACACCATCACTGGCCAGAAAGTAAGACCACGTCTAAACGCTCCATTCCCAGAAGCTCACCTGTTGGCTGGATCACTACGGTGGCCACATCCACGGCTTTTTCTTGGATTTCTTGCCAGGCGCCCTGCTCTTCGATCCACTCGCTGACGACGCACCTGTAGGTGCCCTGGTCGGCGGCCAGGGCCCGGGTCACGGAGAGGCGGTAGCCGTCGCTCCCCACGGTGTCCAGGCGCACGTCTCCGCCGTGGTAGCGCTGCTCGTAGCCGGGGCCCGGGTGCAGCCGGCCCTCGCGGGTGAGGGCCAGGACACGCTGCCGGGTGGCGCCGTGCCGCAGCTCCCACCGCAGCGCCAGGTGCGTGTGCAGCGGGGACGTGGTGGCGGCCTCACAGCGCAGCTCGAAGGGCTCGCCCAGGTGCAGGCTCAGGCTCCGGCCCAGGCCCGGGCCCGGGGAGGACAGCGGGCTGGCGGCCACGTGCAGGGCGTCGGACAGCACTGGAGGTGGAAGGGACAGACCATCAGCAGAGCACCCGAGCCCCTGCCCCAGCAAGCACCAGCCACTTCTCTGGCCTTGAGCCACAAGCCTGGCTGACCAAGGACAACCTCCTCCTCCCGTTCCCCGTGCTAATGCCCCGATGGGCACGGTTTCCCATTGTCAGTCACCTGTCATCTCAATTGACTTCCTCACTTGAAAATGAAAATAAAAGAGGGCCTAGTAAGACCCCCTGGTAGAGCTGGGGGTGGTGGTGCAAACTCCCTTTTGGGAGCTGGGCCTTGGAGACCTGCTTCTGCTCCCCTTAAACTACCCTTTACCCCCTCCGTGCCTTAGTTTCCTCATCTCTGAAGAGGGATGACAAGTGGACCTGGCTCAGGAAGCTGAAGGGAAAGTGCCCTGGACAGCACTGGCCCTGGGCAATCACGGTGCAACCACTGGCCACAGCTGTCAGCTGTCACACACTCCTTTGTTAGGACCCAGGGCTAGAGTGTGGAGCGCAAAGGATCTCCCGAGACTCCAAGCAGCATGATCCCCAGGGGGAGGCTGGGCATGAGCTCCTGGGCCTGGGCCTGGGCACTGCCTGCGAGTGAGCAGAGCGAGCAGAATTCCACAGGTGGGGAACCCGTCGAGGCAAACAGACAGACGCCTCCGCTCTCTGCGTTCGCTCTTGGGGCCACTCCATCGGGAAAGGGGCTGGGGTCTTCTACAGAGTCTAGGAAAAGACGGCCGGCGATCAAGGAAGTTCAGTCAGTGCCGTTTTGGAAGGGAAGTGAGAGGGAGGGACCCAGAGAGGGGGGGCCTCTTCCCAGGGACAATCCCCGAGGTCTGTCTACGAGCTGGATGAGAGAATGCTCGCACACCACGATTCATAAAACTTACATATTTAGAAAGACCCATCCCTGCTACAAAATGAATGTAATGACCTTCTAGTACATACACCCGTCTGTGATTCCGGCTAACGTGGCTCAGTCCCCAAGGCCAGTTTTCCCTGACACAGATGAACAACTTTCAAACCCATGAGGCTGACGGCCAGGCCGATTCTGGGCCACGGATGGCAGGTGCCAGGGGCTCCCCCTGGGCAGCCAACCAGCCTCTGTCGTGGGCCATCCCTCTGCTTTCAATGGCGAGGGGAAGCAAGGGTGCATCTGACCTAATGGAGGTGTAGCATGTGCGTGCTGACTACAAAAGCAACGCATTTGTTAGCTGCAAAGCAAGGATGCCTTACGGGACATTTTTTCTAAAAGACATCTTTAGGATTTTCTACAGGAAAAAGGAAGAGGTAGGTTTGATGTTTTAATACCTTCATCATGGACAGGGCTGTTTTATCCCCTCGTGAGTCAAATGGGGGAACAGTTTCTGAGGTGTGGTAGGGTTCTACAAATCGTTACTGTGGGAATCAAGCCCTCTTGTTATGTCAACATGTAGCCTCTTCCACTTTCTTGACTGTTAAATACACTCCTACCCTGATATCAATTCTTTCTGGAACAAGGCAGGGTACAAATAAGTGCATAATTAAGTAATAAAAATAACAACGATAATGTTTCTATTTGGCTAGCCCCAAATTAAAATTGTTTGTTCTTGCTCATTTACTAATTAGCTGTGGGATTTTAAGAAAGTGATTAACCTCTGCTCTCCCATGTCCTCATGTGTAAATTCAGGCAATATCCTGTCCGACCTTCTTCGTTGAATTCAGAGAACTGAATGTGTGAGTAAATCTAACAGGATTTGGAAAATGGGGAAAAAACAAAACAAAAACATTGCCAATGAGGCTCAGTGATTGAGCACTGACCCATGAACCAGGAGGACATGGTTCAATTCCTGGGTTGCAGGCTCGATTTCCAGTAGGCAGCCAATTAATGATTCTCTCTCATCATTGATGTTTTTATCTCTCTTTCCCTCTCCCTTCCTCTCTCTGAAATGAGTAAAAACATTTTAAAAAAAAGAATAAGCATCATGTAAAAAACAAAAAACATTGCCAATATACAAGGTGTGATGACCTGCACAGCCAGGCCAATCAGCTCGCCGTGCCCATCATAAGCGAGCAGTGACCACATCACTCTTTCTCTACATATGACCCCATACAAGTTCAAGAACTAACAGGTGCTTCCGGGCACCCAGGAGGACATGAGCTTTGAAGTATCTGTTTTTCCCATCAGGCCAAACATTATCACGGCCGTCAGCTTTTCATCGCCAACCTTCACTGAATGCCTACTGCGGCTTTACACGTGCCATCTCCCTGTCCTCACCGCCTTTGACAAAGGCACTGGGACAGAGGAGGCAGCTGGTCAACGTGCCCATGCAACATAGTCAACAAGTGGTAGAGCCAGTAAGTGACTCATGGAGTGCAGGCAACCTGGCTCAGAGCGGGGCTCCCTACCGCCTGGCCCTCCTGCCTCCAACTCACCAGCCAGGGCAGGGGTCCTCAAACTTGTTAAACAGGGGGCCAGTTCACTGTCCCTCAGACCGTTGGAGGGCCGGACTATAGTTTAAAAAAAAACTATGAACAAATTCCTATGCACACTGCACATATCTTATTTTGAAGTAAAAAAACAAAACGGGAACAAATACAATATTTGTATTTGCATGTGGCCGGCAGGCCATAGTTTGAGGACCCCTGAGCCAGGGGATGGCCCAGAATCACAGCGAAGAGAAAGGACCTCGGGGGCCACCTGGCCCATCCCCTGCCTTTAATCAGATAAGATGCTCTTACTCGTTAAGGAGGAAGCAGGGCCCCAGAGGTGTTACGTTTCTTGACAAAGTGACCCACGGCCAAGTGGCAGGGGAAAGTCTGGCCGCTGGCGTGGGGGCCCCCCTTGAGGATGTACCTTTCACCTGCACTGTATCCTCATAGTTGCCCTGGACGGTGGCGTCTGTGCTGGGGGTGGAACACTTGTAGTGGCCTTGGTCCGAGGGCTGGACGTCCTTGATGTGGAGCTCCACAGCGTCATTGGCGGTGCGCCTCAGAAGGATCTCGCCCCTCTGCAGGCGCTCCCGGTACAGCTGGGCCCCGAAGCCCACCTCCCAGGTGCTGGCGAGCTCCACGAAGCTGCCCCCCGAAGACGAGAAGCTCCAGTCAAAGTTCTGCTCGCTGGGGCCGTCGTAATCACTGACGTTGCAGGGGATGACTAGCTCGGTGCCCGCCACCCGCACCAGGTTCCCAGCGGGGACTCTCACCACGCGCCCTCGACAAAGAGCTGCAAGGACAAGAGGAGAAAGGAGGGTCTTGAATCTGGCCAGGCCTCCCTGGTATACATGTAGCACACCTGTGGGCCCTCGTGTTTGCAGGCGCATGGCAGAGCTGGGGCACCTGGACAGCTGGGGGACATGGGGTCCTGTGTGTGTCTGTACAGAAGGAGCCAGAAGCCAGGAGTGCACCCAAAATGAGTGCCTCTCACCCAAGTTTCCTAGGATTGCCAGGGAGGAAGACAAGAATTTAAAGTAGGCTAGCCACAGATCTGAATAGCAGCTTCTTCCCTCCCGTTACTATGTAACATACCATCATTACCACTCACTGGGATGGAGAAATGGCTCAGGTTTTGTGGGAAAGAAAAGAACATAGCTAATCAAGTATTTACACTTGTGCCCACCCCTGTATCAGCCCTCGTCCCCGGAGACCATTCCCTGGGGCTCCTGGGACTGATTTATACTGATGGATGTCAATTTTTAAATCCTACACCAGCCTGCTGAAAAAATGATTTAACTCTGATTATCTGACATTGCCTATAAATTAATTTTAAAATATGACGACTCTACCAAGTATTAATTTTCTATTTTCTGGCTCATTTCCTTCTCCCTACTCTTCACCAAATGCAGAATGAGGATAGGAAAACACACAGGGAGGGAAGGAGGGAGGAAGAGAGAGAGGGAGAGAGAGAGAGAGAGGCTTGTCTGGCTGGTTTCCAGGCTAGGTGTTGTAAGGAATGCAGCCACTCGCCGGGGACAAGCCCATGGACGAAGCCAAGAGTTCCCGGCAATCCTGTGTGACCTTTGAGACATCTTCATTGCAGTGAAATTCGGCACGATTCCATACTGCATTGACCACCTGTGCTTAGCATTGCAACCCAGACCAAATGAACGCGAGTGACTCCTGGATGCTCTATGAATGAGACACACAGGAGAAAGCACGGGCTCTGAAGTCACGGAGACCCACGTTCACATCTGCGAGACCTCTCCGCCCGGCCTTCCCGCTGTGAAATGGGGCATGAAGGGTGCCATGAGTTCGTGAGATGAAACGGCCAGCTGAGGGCCCACCGTGCAAGCAGAGCGGGACAGAATGGGGACTACCCAGCAGCAAAGCCACCATCACCAGTTCACAAGGGACATGTGGTCTCTTTTTCAATGTCAGGTTGGAGAGGACCCGGCAATTCTGAAGCTCCCTAGGAAGGCTTTCAGAAGTTCGTGTCAAGGGGAAGATCTTAACCTCCTTGTGCCCAAGTTTCCTCTGAGAAACAAAGACAACACTCACCACGCTCACCCTGCAGGACTGAGCGACACGGCACTCACAACCAGGCCTATCTCCCGGTAAGGGTGTGTGGTTATCATCTGCTCGGCAGGCCGCCTCTAGAATAAACCTGATCACATCATTGATCTTGTTGACTTGACAAGGTTTGCAAAGGAATCTCCTAATGTATAAATCATTTCAGTTCCTATCCCTTGTCAAAAAGTTGACCAGGGCTGCCTGGCCGGTGTGGCTCAGTGGTTGAGCATCAACCTAGGAACCAGGAGGTCATGGTTCGATTCCCAGTCAGGGCACGTGCCTGGGTTGCGGGCTTGATCCCCAGTGTGGGGCGCGCAGGAGGCAGCTGATCAGTGGTTCTCTCTCATTATTACTGATGTCTCTCTCTCTCTCTCCTTTCCTCTTTGAAATATATGTATAGATATACAAATATATCTATATATGTACATATATATATTTATTAGAGAATCTTAGTGTGGTGAAGGCCTGGAGTGGGGGTGGGAGCAGGCTAGAAGAGGTCAATGGGGGCGGGGGAAATAACTGTAATACTTTCAACAATAAAGATTAAAAAAAAAAAGTTGACCAGGGTTGACGACTGCCCCCAGGCATGAGACTCCCTCCCTGGTAGGGTCTCTATCCGTATTCTTAGTGCCTGCAGTTTGGGAGACTGATCCAGCTCCTTATGTCTCCAATCCTGCTTCCACATGGCTGCCATGCCACTTCCCTGGTCCAAAGTCTTCAGGGCTCCTCATCACCTACAGGACACAATCCACCTTCCAGATGTCCCCACTGCGACCACCCCGCGTCAAGCCACCATCCCCCTCACCAGAAGCATTGACAACCACCTCCCAGCTGGGCTCCTGGTTAACAGCTGACGTTGTATGATGTCATTACTCTGCTCAAAACATTCTAATCATTCCCCATTTCACTCAGATAAAAGTCAAAATCCTCCCAGAGGCCACACAGACAAAACCTCACAACATCTGGCTTTTCTCAAACTTCCTTCTCCTCTCCCTCTGGCTCCCTGCACTGTATTTCAGCCATGCACTCCTCCTACGGTTTCTTGCACAAAGCAGATCTGCTGCAACCTCAGGGCTTTTGCACGGCTCCTCAGTCCAGAGCCCTCTCACTCGCTCCCGGCTTCTTCGCCAGCTTCAGATCTTTATTCCAATGTCACCTTCGTAGGAAGCCCTTTCCTAACCACACTAAAACCCCACCGCCCATTCTTCCTCCTGCCAAATTTTCGTCTTCTCACTAATACAATTTTTGTACATTTATATATTTTTACTATTATTTATAGTCTGTTTCTTCCCACTAGAATGTAAGTTCCATACGAACAAGTGGTTTTGTTTTATTTTTTGGCCTGTTTTGTTCACTGCTGAATGAATGCCAGTGCCTACTCCAGGGCCTGGTACATAACAGTTGTTCAATAAGTATTTGCAAAATGAGTGGCTGAATAAAAGGCATACAAGATCGTGCATGGTCTGGCCCATGGCTAGCACTCTAGCTTCTTCTCCAACCATTCTCCCACCCCATAATGCTTATACTCCAGCAAAACAAATGACCCTTCATTTTCTGGAAATGCCATGCTCTCGTGTGCCCCGTGGCCTCTGCCTCGGTGCCCGTGTCAGCAATCTCTCAGCCTCTTGCAAGAAGCAGCTCTAGCGCCACCTCCTCTGTGAAGCCTCCCCTCTCCCCTGGGATCAGCAGGCACTCCTGCCTCCACGTTCCAGCCCAACCTGAGACAGTACCGCCGACGCCGGCTCTGTGATAGTGCCGCTGGGGACAGTGAAGCAGATATGAACAGATGCTCGAAAGATCAAGTTCTAATCTGAAAACATATAAACCCGAGATGTGTCTTGCATGCAGAACTCAGCTGTCCCCTCAGCCATGCAAATCAAGTTTTTAAATTCTGGTAACAGAATTTCAACTTACTACAAGCAATCTGGTATTCAGCAGATTTCCCTTAATAGTGTTAAATAACAGCTAATAATATTTTTAAATAAATATAAATGGTAAAAAAACAAAGCATATGGCTTTTTTCCGATCGAAAGAAAAGTATCTGCATAGCTACACATTGCCCATTTCTGTCAAAATCCCTTTTAACAGTTGATAACTGAGGGGAAAAGAATAAAACTCTCCCCTGGTTTTCTAAATTCTACCAGCATTTCAAATTGAGAGTCCCAAACACATTGCTATTTGAACTATTATTTGTCTAGTTCTTCACAAAATGTCTTTACTAAGTGATGATTTAAAGCATTTCTTTATCACCCTTTAAAATAACATTGGGGATATTGTTGTGCTGCTCAATGACGTAAAAATCTGTATAATAAAATTCCCTTAGAATTAAGTACCAGAAAAAAATACCTGTTGATGGACCATTATACATTCTTTCCCCAGAGGATAAGACTAACCAGTTGAGTACCATTGATACTCAAGACAAAATAAGTTTTTTTTTTCTTTTTTTGGTAATCTTCACCTGAGGATATGTTTTCTCTATTGATTTTAGAGAGAAGGTAAAAGGTGGGGGGAGGGGAGAGAGGGAGAGAGAGAGAGAGAGAGAGAGAGAAAAAAAGAGAGAGTGAAACATCAATGTGAGAGAGAAACATAGATCGGACGCCTCCCCCTCATGCCCTCCACAACCTAGGCCAGTGATGGCGAACCTATGACACGCGTGTCAGAGGTGACACGCGAACTCATTTTTTTCGGTTGATTTTTCTTTGTTAAATGGCATTTAAATATATAAAATACATATCAAACATATAAATCTTTGTTTTACTATGGTTGCAAATATCAAAAAATGTCTCTATGTGACACGGCACCAGAGTTAAGTTAGGGTTTTTCAAAATGCTGACGCGCCGAGCTCAGAAGGTTCGCCGTCCCTGCCCTAGGCACTACCCTGACCGGGAACTGAGCCCACGGCCATTCCGTGTAGGGAAGATGCTCCAAACAATTGAGCCACACCCAGTGGAGCCGAGGCTTCGATGCCAAACCATTAGCAATCTCAATGACTAAGTAGCCCAGCACATGCAATGCCCTGATTGGGTCAGACTCCCTTTGGTAAGTTTCAGAACCCTCCATTGCCTCCAAACTTCTGTTTTAAACATTTCTAAGTCTACAAAAATAAAACCAAAACAGCCAAAAAAATAAAACAAACCAAAAAAAGACAACAAGAAAAACCCAATACAATTGTTACTACTGCTATCATCTCTCTTTTCTCTTCCAAGTCCTGTGTTCCCCAAAACATATTCAAGTCATGTGTCCTTTTGTACCTTCGCTTCAAGGAAGGCCTGTCTAAATATGATGGTCAACAATGGAAACCACCCATAGTTTCAATTTCTCATAATTACCTCCCTCTGCCTTCCCTGCTGTCCTGTACTTTTGATATTTTTACTCTTCTTTTAAGTTTTCTATGGCATGTACATGTGTATTTTACTACAAATTGTCTCAAATACTTTTTTGGGAGGATGGGGTAAGAATGACATAAATTTCAAAAGACCAATTATTGGGATTTCCACTTCCAGGAGATTTTCTCTATCTGCTATGACACAGTAGCTTATGTCAGACCAACTCCTTCCCTGAGAACAACTACAAAACATGGATACATTACAAAAAAACCGATAACTGAATGCACTGTTGAGCAAGCCAGGATCAAGGGGGCAACATCACAGACCTGACAATGTCCACTGCTTTTTCGCTGGAGATTCACCAATTGTGAGAGGTTTAGGTCAGAGAGAC